GAGGGGCATCCCATGACCGCCCAGTGGCTGTTTCTGGGATGAACAACAGGGTTCCTCATCCTCGTATTGGCTTTGACTGCCCCCTAGGGGACATTTTTCTCCAGACCCATGGGTACCGGTGGCATTCCTCCAGGAAAAGGGTTGGGACACTGTCCAAGCCTGCTGGTTCTCTCCTCTTCTCGTCCTCCGCTCACTCCATGGCAGACTCACCACATCGTGTGGCTTTACATACCATCCACATGATAACTGCTCCCCAAATTACATCCGTAGCCCACACTTCTCCCTCCCACACTCCACACTCGGAGATCCAACGGCCACCTGTCCTCTCCACAGGGAAGTCGAACAGTCTTCTCAAACATATGTGTCCAAAGCTGAGATCCTCATCCTCCCCCATCCTAGTTATGGCAACGCCATCCTTCCAGATGCCAGGCTCAAACCCAGGGTGCCATCCTTGGCTCACCTTTCCTTCATACCCAAGTCCAAATTGTCAGCAAAGCCTATTGGCTGCACCTTCAATATATGTCCAGAATCTTACCACCTCTTGCAATCCTGGTTCGGGCTACCACTAATTCCAGACTTATTAAAATAGACTCTTATCTGGCCCTGCAGCATTTGGCCCAGTCCAGTGGCTCTTGTCTCAGCTGGAGAAAAAGCCGGAGTCCATACAATGACCACGAGAGTCTTGCTGATCTAACTCCTGTTACCTTCCCCATCACGGCATTCATTCCACGCTGTTGTCACTTGTGTCAGGCATGCTCCTGCTTCAGGGCCTTTGCACCTGCTCTTCCCACTTCCTTCAAATAACTACATGGCTGGCACCTTCATATCCTTCAGATATTCACTCAAAAGATCCTTCTCCATAAGGCCTTCCCAGGATATCCTACGCAAATTTCAGCAGCTCTCTGACATTTCCCATTTCCCCACCTTGCTTTATGTTTTTTTTTCTTCTTCTTCCTTTTATTTTTTTTTTTTTAGATTTTATTTATTTATTTGATAGAGATCACAAGTAGGCAGAGAGGCAGGCAGAGAGAGGGAGGAGAAAACAAGCTCCCCACCAAGCAGAGCCTGATGTGGGGCTTGGTGTGGGGCTCGATCCCAGGACCCTGGAATCATGACCCGAGCCGAAGGCAGAGGCTTTAACCCACTGAGCCACCCAGGTGTCCCATGGTTTTTCTTCTTAATATCTATCACTATTCAATATACTACACATTTTACTCATTTATCCTCCATCGGAATAAAAGTTCCATAAGAGTAGAGTTTTTGTGGGGTGCCTAGGTGGTTCAGTGGGTTAAGCCTCTGCCTTCGGCTCAGGTCATGATCTCAGGGTCCTGGGATCAAGTCCCACATTAGGCTCTCCGTTCAGCAGGGAGCCTGCTTCTCCCTCTCTCTCTCTGCCTGCCTCTCTGCCTACTTGTGATCTCTGTCTGTCAAATGAATAAATAAAATCTTTAAAAAAAGAGTAGAGTTTTTGTTTATTTTGTTCCCTGAAATATCTCCAATGCCTACAGCAGAGGTTAGTGATATTTGAAAAAGGAAATTATATCTTTCTTTTATTCTTATTTTTTAAATGTTTTCTTTTAAAAATTTTATTTATTATTTATTTTAAAAATATTTTTATAACTTATTTGAGAGAGAGAGAGAGCGCACAGAGGGAGAGGGAGAAGCAGGCTACCCGTTGAGCAGGGAGCCCTACATGAGGCTCAATCCCAGGACCCTGGGATCATGACCTGAGCCCAAGGCAGATGCTTAACTGACTGAGCCAGCCAGGTGTCCCTAAAAATAAAATCTTTTTTTTTTTTTTTTAAAGGATTGTTGTCAAACTTGGGATAACCTCTACCAAGCGTCTTACATATGTGAGAGCTATAAGGTTTGGAAAGATTTTCCACAGAGTTGCTTCTGGCTTCATACATTTCAAACCTTACTTTCCTCCAGCAGGCGGGCCAGGAATGATAAGGGTCTCTGATTTTGCACCTTCATATCACAACATGGGGGAGGACAGCACAACGGGCTTGGGGAATATTCCCGGAAGCCATTTTGGAGCATCCAGAAATGAGAAAACTAGACCCGGAAGAAGCTAGAACCCCATTCATATATCCTCCCAAACCCAAACCCAAACCAGCCTTCCTTTAGCAAGCGAGATTTTAAAAATGCCCATGGCACTGAAGTGAGTTGTGATGGAGAAGACGGGGAGGAAAGAGACAGTAGTCTGACTGTGTTAGACCATCTTACTCTTGTGGAATACCTGGGTGGCTCAGTTGTTAAGCATCTGCCTTTGGCTCAGGTCATGATCCCAGGGTCCTGGGATCGAGTCCTGTATTGGGCTCTCTGCACAGCGGGGAGCCTGCTCCCCCCACCCCGCCTACTTGTGGTCTCTCTCTCTCTCTCTGTCAAATAAATAAATAAAGTCTTTAAAAAAAGAGAGAATATCTTACTCTTGCAAATTTTATAAAAACACATAACCCCATGCAAGAAATGTGTCCTAAAGCTTCAGCTGCAAAGGCTTCATGGTAAATCGGCTCCTTCTGAAGCAGACTTGGGTCCTCTGAGAGCCCCAGGCCTGGCCTTGGATGGCGCACACAGGGGCACTGAATGTCAGCTCTGGCAGGGACAGCCGTTAGACAGTTCAGGATCCGTGGCTGTTTCTTGGATTTGTTTTATAGAGAGGAAGAGAGAGGGGGAGAGAGCACGAGCACACAGATGGGGCGAGGGGCACAGAGAGAGGGAGAGAGAGAGAATCTCAAGCAGACTCCACGCTGAGTATGGAGCCTGACAAAGGGCTCGATCTCATGACCCAGAGATCATGACTGGAGCCGAAACCAAGAGTCAGATGCTTAACTGACAGAGCCACCTAGGCGCCCCAGGGCCACTGGTTTTAACCTTCCCATTGAGTCTCGGGACCCTGAAGTGTGTCTCAAAGACTACACCTGGGGACTTCTTTTTTTTTTTTTTTTAAAGATTTTTATTTATTTATTTGACAGAGATCACAAGCAGGCAGAGAGAGAGGAGAGGAAGCAGGCTCCCTGCTGAGAAGAGAGCCCAATGCGGGGCTCGATCCCAGGACCCTGAGATCATGACCTGAGCCAAAGGCAGCGGCTTAACCCACTGAGCCAGCCAGGCGCCCCACCTGGGGACTTCTTGAAACGTGGTGCACCTCTGTTTAAGTAATAGTGACATTAAGAGTCAGCATCCCGCCTAGCTTGTCCTGGGCACTTTACTGTGTGACAGACACTATTCTCAGTATCCTGCTTGTATCAAGTGACTCAATCCTTATTACAAACCTATGAAACTGGAACTGTCATTTATATATTAAAGCTTCCATGTAGGGACACCTGGGTGTGTCAGTAGCTAAGGGTCTGCCTTTAGGCTCAGGTCATGATCTCGGGGTCCTGGGATGGAGCCCCATATTGGGCTTCCTGCTCAGTGGGGAGTCTGCTTCTCCTTCTCCTTCTGCTCCTCCCCCGTGCTCATGCATGTTGTCTCTCTCAAATAAAACAAAACAAAACAAAATAAAATATTCCATGTAAGAAAACTTTAGAAAAAAACTGATCTTTTTTTTTTTTAATTTGACAGACAGAGATCACAAGTAAGCAGAGAAGCAGGCAGGGAGAGAGGAGGGAGCAGGCTTCCTGCTGAGCAGAGAGCCCGATGCGGGGCTCGATCCCAGGACCCTGGGATCATGACCTGAGCCGAAGGCAGAGGACTTAACCCACTGAGCCACCCAGGCACCCCGAAAAAACTAATCTTTAAAAAAAATTTTATTTTATTTTTTTAAAGAATTTATTTATTTATTTGACAGAGAGAGATCACAAGTAGGCAGAGAGGCAGGCAGAGAGAGAGAGAGAGAGAAGGAAGCAGGCTCCCCGGTGAGCAGAGAGCCCGGTGTGGGACTTGATCCCAGGACCCTGGGTCGAAGGCAGAGGCTTAACCCACTGAACCACCCAGGTGCCCCAAAATATTTTATTTTTAAGTCATCTCTACATCCAACAGGGGAAAACCCACAACCCCAAGATCAAGAGTCACATGCTCCACTGACTGAGCCAGTCAGGTGCCCCATGAAAAATGTTGGTCAAATAACAAGTTTTGGACAAGTTCTGAAATGGCCCAAGTCCTTTCTTTGATATGTGGGGAAGCTGAACCTAGCAAAAGAGAGGTCATGTGCTTACTACTACGTATTTATTCTTCTTTTCTGGATGCCTGCCCTGTGCCAGGCACTGTGCTATGAACTAGGGGTTTAGAGATCAACATAACCCTTGTGGAACACAATTTTAGTGGGGCCAGTAGATAATATACACAAGATACCTGTAAGCCAAGTTATTTGAGCGAGTGCTGAAGTAATATATTTGGGGAGATGTGACTGAGTGACAAGGAAGGAAAGCACCAGTTCACACTGAGAGGTGGTCTGAGAAATGTGGTCCAAGGGGGTGACGTGTGACCCCAAACCTGAATGACCTGAAGAAGCCAGCCATGGAATGCTATGGGAGAAGAGCACTTCACATGGAGGGAACTGTGAGTGCAAAAGTCCTGGGGTAGGGCCTCCTCGTCCAGCACTACTATGCCACTTGCTGCCTCTGTAGGGCCCTCAGAGCCGCCCTTTGACGTGCTGGGCCTCCATCAAGCTCAGCCCCAATTTATCCAGAGCTCAGCAGCTCTCTGAGGCTGTGGGCGCCCGTCCCAGAAGCCTTGTGGGTGAACCGGATCTGAGGTTCCTGGTTCCTATCTGGCAGGGGGTGAGTGGCTATCTTCCCCGCCTACTTTCCCCAGGCTCCAGCCTCAGCCCCAAATATCCATGGCAACCTTAGATACAATCCTGATCTGAAGAAGGATCTGGAACACAAAGATCACTATAAAGAGACCAGAGGGCTGATGGACTTACCTCCCCTTGCTCCTTGTGTCCTGCCACACTGTCTGCCAGGCCCCCCCCCCAGTCTCCCCAAAGACCCCAAACTGAGGATCCTGCAAGTCTGCCCCGTTGCTGGGCACGGCAGGGCCTGGATGGAGGTATGTCTGGGGCAGCTGCCCCAAAGGCTGCACTGGCTGTGTCTGCTCTGGAAACAGGTGAGCCTGAGGGGGCTCAGCTGGGGTGGGCAGGGGAGTCAGGTCCTCCCACCCTTAGAGACCATATCCTCATGATAGGCTGGGACCCCTTGACTTGGAGGAGGCTGGAAAGTCTTGTGCCTGGTCTTGTTTGGTACCCCAAACTCCTCTGGGAGGCTGGAGCTCCAAGTCACCCAGAAATAGGGGTCTGGAGTGTGTATGGGGAAGGGGGCAGTGGACAACAACAACTGTGAACTTTGGGGTCAGACAGTCTGTGTTCACACTCTCAGTGACATCATGGCTTCACCTCTCCGGTTCTGGTTCTGCACCAGCAAAGTGGGAACAAGGGCCCTTGCTCCTTAAGGGACTATTATTACTATGCATATAAGATGAGATAAATGTGTAAGACATTTAGCTCCGGGCACATAAAAGGTGCTCAACTCATTCACTCTCCAAGGCTCCCTCTTTCACCGTTGGCCTTTAGGGCAGGTGCTGGCTTTACTAGATCTGCGAAGATTTGAGACAATGCTCCCACATCCAGAGCCCTGATAGTGAATTTCTTCCCCAAAGACCCACATCCCGGCTGGTCCTTAACACCTACTGGTGTCCCTACTATACACCAGAAAAGCCACCTCCTCTTTTCCATCCTTACAAAAATCAGAGTTAGTTTGATTTTTTTTTTTAAGATTTTATTTATTTATTTGACAGGCAGAGATCACAAGTAGGCAGAGAGAGAGAGAGAGAGAGAGAGAGAGAGAGGTGGAAGCAGACTCCCTGCTGAGCAGAGAGCCCAATGCGGGGCTCGATCCCAGGACCCTGGGACCATGACCTGAGCCGAAGGCAGAGGCTTTAACCCACTGAGCCACCCAGGCGCCCCAGAGCTAGTTTGATTATTTGCACATTATCTCATTCAGTCCTCGCAACAACTCTGTAGTAGTGAGGATGTTTTGGGATGTAAGTAACAGATACCAAACTAACAAGAGTTTAACCCATAAGGACATTTGCTATTTCATTCAAGAAGAGTGGCCACAGATGATTCCAGAAATGGTTAATTTAGCAGCTCCACCATGCTGACGTTTTCCATGATTCTCATGACCTTATCCTTGCAAAATGGCTGCTACGGCCCTGGCCCTTGCATCCTCAGACAACTGCTTTCAGTTTTGTTTTTTTTTTTGTTGTTGTTGTTTTTTTTTGTTTTTAAACCAGAGAGGAAAACCTTTTCCAAAAGCCCTCAGCAAACCTCTTCAATCTCATTGGCCAGAATCAGGTCCCATGCCAATCCCTAAACCCCGCAAATTGAATTAGGATTACAAAGCTTGGTTTAGGCCAATGACCAGGAGACAACCTGGTAGGTTGCTCACTGACAGCTGAGAGATATTAGGGTTCTTTTCCAAAGAGCAACAGGGAAAGGCTGGCGTAGGCAGAGGCCCAGTTGAGTCTACCCCTCCTGGGATAAGGTACTAATAATAGCTAACGCTTCTGTGACACTCATTAAATGCACAGCACTGTCCTGAGCGCTGAACCCTTACCTGCCCACAGTCCTCTAGTTTCAATTCCAAAATATGAGAAACTCCGAAAGCCAAAACTCCTTCTTAACTAATGTACGGGCGACACTTGACTTGAACTGATAGGAGGCTGTTTTTTGTCTTTGTCTTGCTTAGGGTTATGTCAGCAGACTTGCTCTAGAAAATATGTTTGATCATGGAGGGCTGCAACATAATCTCCTGTATTACCTACCTTATCTTTCTAAAAATCTGGAAAATTCTGAAACGTATTCCAGAGCTTTTGAATAAGAGATTGAGGACCTGAATTAGATTACTCAACCATTTGAGTAATTAAATTACTCAAAATTCTGAGATTGGGCAATTATTCCATTTTGTTGATGAAAAAACTGAGGCTCAGAGAGGGTGAGTGACTTATCTGGGGGTCACACAGCGGGCAGCACTCGGAACCGGGCCGCGCGGTTCCAGGGTTTGTACTTTTCCCTGCAGCCAACCTGGTGGACCTCTGCGGGCAGACGTGGCAGGGGGCCGGGCTGCTGCTGCACTCGCACTCCGCCTCGCGCAGGTTCTACTTCGTGGCCCCGGACACCGACTGCTGGCTCTGGATGCGGGCGGCGGCCGCCGGCGACAGGATTCGATTCCAGTTCCGCTTCTTCCTGGTCTACGGCTTGGCCGGGGCGGCGGGGGCGCCCCCAATGTCCCCGGCGTCCAACGCCTCCTCCCCGGCGCCGGCCGACCGGTGCGCCCCCGGGTCCTACCTGCAGTTCTACGAGGGCCCGCCGGGGGCGCCGCGGCCCCTGGGGGCCCCTCTCTGCGGCCTGACCATCCCGGCGGCGGTGGCGTCCTCCGGGACCTTCCTGGGCCTCCGCCTGCTCACCAGAGGCCGCCAGCCCCGCGTGGACTTCGTGGGCGATGCCACCTCTTTCCGGCTGGGTGGGTGGGGGCTGTTGGCCGGGACCGGGGGCCCCAAGTCGGGGCAGCTGCGGGCCTGGGGTCACCGGTGTGGCACCTGCAGCGCGGAGGATGGAGGCGGCTGCTGGGGCCTGGATGCGGTTGGGGCAAGGGGACTGTCAGCGGGCTGAGCGCGCTCCCGGGGGGAGGGGGAGGGGGGAAGGGGTCATTTCAGACCCCCGGAGTCTACCCAGTAAATTTGACAGGGCCGCGATGGCAGTCCCCCTACCAGCCCCTACCAGCCGCCGACGTACGCCCGCACACACTCACCCATTCCGAACTCCCACGCACTCCCACACCTGACACCCAGTACCCACACGCACCCTGCACACTCATTCACACGGCCCCCCACTCACACACCTCACGCCTCAACACCCGTGCACGCTACGTACCCCATATACCCTGCACACTCATTCACACCACCCCACACGGTCACACCCAACCCCCTGCTCACACACCCTGCACAGTCATTCACACGACTCCCTCACACACCTCACACCCAACACCTACACTCACTGTACTCAACCCTCATGGCCTACACACTCATTCACCATATATACTCACACACTCACCTGTTCACAACTCCCTCTCCCACACCATTCCTACACTCCCACACCTCACATCCAACACCACTCACACACCCACGCTCACACGATGGACCCCATACTCACACACCTCACGCCTCAACACCCCCCCCACACGGCACACACCCCCACACACCCTGCACACTCATTCACATGACCCACACTCACACCCCTCGTACCCCAACACCCTCATTCATACACTGCACACTCATTCACACAACCCCACACGCACAAACCTCACATCCCAACACCCACACTCACACACACTGTGTATGTGCATACAACCCAGAAGTCTGCGCTCATTTACACAACTCACCCACCCACGTGCCTCGCACACTGTGACACACAAGCCGCGTATGTCCCATACCGCACACTCCCACACAGTATACGTCACACACCTCCTACACATACAGCACCACGTTGCACACTTAGATACACCTTACACACTCTCAAGTTCACACACGGCTCTTCTGTCCTGGCTCAGCCCTTCAGAGGGTTGCAGAGGGGCGGAGTGAGGACCCTCGGGGCTGTCAGCGACAGTAAGGAAGGGGAACTCACAGTAGTTAATAGTCACTTGGTACGCACTGCCTTTGCCCTTCGCGAGCCGATGTGTCTGGGCCTCCCGGCCGCACCACACCTGTCTCCTCGTTCTCCTGTTTCTGAGTGGGAAACAGGCTCAGGGAGGCTAGGAAAAGTACCCAGGCCTCCCCGCTCAAAAGCGGCGCAGCTGGGTTTCAGCAGCTAGAGCACGTCCTCTTGTTCAAAGTGAGTTCAAGGCTTTAGCCCCCCCCAGGCTCCCCCAGGACTGGAGACACTCCCGTGTGTCCCAGCAGAGGCTGTGTCCGGTGATGGCGAGTAGACGAGCTGCCCAAACCCGTAAGACTCCAAAAGCACAGAGAAACTTTAGTGCCCATGCTGGCAAGATATCCAGGCTGGGGATTCAAACGTGGGAGTGCGAGGCACTTTGAGACTCAGACAGCCCACGCAGGCTCACCGGGAGCTAGACTTCAAGGTGCCAGGCCCTGGGCGGCCCGTTTTTTTTTTTTTTTTTTTTTAAAGATTTTATTTATTTATATGACAGAGAGAGAGAAATCACAAGTAGACAGAGAGACAGGCAGAGAGAGAGGGGGAAACAGGCTCCCCGCCAAGCAGAAAGCCCGACGCGGGGCTCGATCCCAGGACCCTGACACCATGACCCGAGCCGAAGGCAGAGGCCCAACCCACTTAGCCACCCAAGAGCCCCATGGACGGCCCTTTAACACCGAGTTGGTCCACCAGAGCCCCCAGGGCCGTCTCATGGCCTCTTTAGACAAGGCCCACCTTCTTCTCCCCTGGCCTAGTGCCCAGTCTGAATTTTGAATTTTATTTATTTATTTATTTATTTATTTTTGAGCGAGAGAGGGAGGAAGAGTGTTTGTGTGTGACCAAGAGCAGGGGTGGGAAGCAGGGGCAGGGAGAGAATCTTAAGCGGGCCCCAGGCCCAGCATGAAGCCTGTTGTAGGGCTCGATCTCACGACCCTGAGATCATGACCTGAGCCGAAATCAACAGTTGGACGCTTCACTGACTGAGCCACCCAGGCCCCCCTGAATTTTGGATTTTAGATTCTTTCCCTCTTCCCCCTTAGTCTTTGGCTCTAGGAGGAACTATAGGAAATTTGGACTCTAAATCCTTAGGGCCAAGGTGGTGGCCTTGGGGTCTCCCAGGCTTCCATACGGCTTCCATAGGCTGCAGCAGGCCCAGGGGCCTGTGATGTGTTGCACACAGCGCTCACTGGGTGATGGAGAATTAACCCCTCCCTCCGTACCCTCCCCCTCTCTCCCCGTGGCCTTGCCGGCTTGCAAGTGCAGCTGTTAGCCAGAGCCAGGGATGCTGCTGGCGTCTGTGTTCGTTAGCATGGACTCCCGAAAGGAGGCAGTGGTGAAGCCCTATCATAGTTCTGGCTTCCTTAGATCAATTTTGTCACTTGAATGAAGAAAGGTTCATTTCACATCATTAGGCCACACACGCAGTCCCCGTCACTCACACCTGCAGGCACAGGCTGCCTGGTTCGTGCACACACGCCTACACAGACACTCACACGTGACTGCCCATACACAACCACACCACTGTTTGTGTTTTGTGTCACATTCACCCTTACATCTCCATACCTGTTATGTAGTCTTCATTTTCATTTGTAGACAAAAGAAACCCGACTCAAGTTGGTTTAGCCAAAGGAGAATGGGGAGGGACTCCTGTAACTGGGGTATTGAGGTGTTGGTTCAGGTAGAGCTGGATCCAGCAGTTCAAGTAATGGCCCCTGGGCTCTGTGTCCTTGTTCTCTGTCTTTGCATTGTGGGAATCTGCTTGGCCTCCCTCTCAGGCAGCTTCTCTTTCTATCTGGCAATAAGATGATCCCGCAGCTCCAAACCCACGGTCACCATTATAGGTCTAACCTCAACAAAATAGAGAGCGAGCATCTTTTCTTATGGTTCTAGCAAGAGGGCCAGTGCCAAATCTGAGTAGTCATGTGGGCTATATGTCCATTTCTGTAGCCAGGAAATGGAATGCTCTGATTCCCATGCCCACCCCTGAGCCAGGGTGTTGGGCAGCCCCCCGAACCAGCTTTTCTTCACAGAATGGGATGCTGGGTAAGTCAGCCTCTCTGCACACTGACATCATGGTAGGGGAGATGGGCCATTAACAAATAACCAAATGAATCCATGTTCTGCCGAGGTGAGGAGGGCTGCAGAGGGATGGAAATCAGGACAAGGAGGACCAGAGTGCTGGGGGAGGGTGGCATTCATGAGTGTGGGACTGGATTCCTCATTTGCTGCTTTGATACAAGCTGTGTAGCCTTGGCCAAGTGACCTGAACTCTCTGTGCCTGTCTTCTGATCTCTGAAATGGGAGTAGGAACAGTGTTTATCGTGTAGGGTTATTGTGAGAACTTCAGGAGCTGGGTGTGGGTGAAGTGCTGAGAGCCATGCCCAGCATCAGACAGGAATCAGTAAATGTCAGCCATCGGCATCATCTTGAGGACCATACACCTGTCTCCCGTGAAACACCCACCTATGCTTTCATCTGCACGCACACAGAAGCAGCTCTCTGTGGCTCGCAACTCCCATGTTCCCTCACTATAGGGCTAAGCATCCCTGTGCATCAGGGGTTGGCTCAGGGTCCTCATCTCATGCCTCCCCTCCTGGCCCCAGGAGCCTGCGGTGCCTACTTCCGCTGTCGGAATGGCAGGTGCGTGCCCCCAAGCCTGGTGTGCGATTGCTGGGGCATGGACAACTGTGGCGATAGTAGTGACCAGGCTTCCTGGCCACCAGCCAACTGCAGAGGTCAGTGATGGGTGTGGCCTAGGCCCTGCTGAGCTGCTAGGAGGGAAACTGGGGTGACTTCCCTTCCCTGGGGCAGGACCTCAGTGTGGAGACTGGGGGCAGGGGCATGGCAGGAGTGGGGAACCTGTGTAGGCTGGACTATCTGAGAATCAGAGCAAGTTAGAGCCGGAATGATGCTGGAAGTGATCTAATCCAGCCGCTTCCAAATGGTATTTCAGTGGTGGAAGCTTTTCCTAAGTGGAATTTTGCAGAGGACCAAGGGGAAGAGATGCTCTATTTAACAGGACATGGAGGCCCAGACCCTGGCTGACTGATGTCCCATTAAGGGACATCAACTTGAGTTGAATCTTCAAGACTTACTTTGGAAACCATTGTCCAGTCTGACTCCCATGTTTTATGTATGGGGAAACTGAGGCCTAGGGAAGGAAAAATGTCTTGCCCAAGGTCATAGAGTCAGGGAGTAGCATGACCAGGAATGACATCTGTGGATAGGGGGACCAAAACAGGGCACCCAGGAAGCTCCTTCCTGGGAATCCAAGATGCCACATCTGCAAACAGGGCTGCCATGTATGGTTCAACAGGTTGTTTACTGCAAATTAAACACCTGGCTGTAGGTGCTGATAAACCTAACCTTTTGGAGTTGTCCTAAACTAAGTGAAATACCACAGGTAAAGAGCCCAGTGCCCAGCACGGTGCTTGGTGCCCAGAGAATGCTCAGTACAGACACTTCTTCCTTCTTGAGAAGTAGTCCCATTTGTAACCCTGGGCGCTGGAGCTGGGCAGTGTGAGCTCAAGTCCTCCCCTAGTACTTCCTGCTCTGGGACCTGGGCAAGCAACTTAACCTCTCCAGGCCTCACTTTCCTTATATGAAATGGAAATACTGATAGTAACAAACTCAGACAGGTTTGGGGAGGCTTTAGTGAGCCCAAGTCAAGCCCTGGAAAGTTCTGTGTGTTCCTCTATTATTTCCTGCTGCAGGTCCCCCTCTGGTGCCCAGCCAGGCAGGAGGTACCGATGGCCCTGTGTCCCAGACCCTGACACTCCCCTCAGCTTTCAGTTCTGCAGGAACCCTCCAGATGGCCGCTCAGAGGACACCCATCACAGGCCGGGGCCCTGAACAGCAGGGTACAACAGCTCCTCTGGGAGGTAGATGGCTCTTGCTTCCCACCTGCTTCCACTCCTCCCACCAAGGTCACACTTATCCCTCCCCATGTGACAGGGACAGGGCAACAGGCCTAGGGTGCGGCCTGAGTGGCTTTCCTTTTCTTTCTGCAGGTTCCTGGCTCCGAGGTGTGGCGCTGGTCTCCTCGCTGGTCCTAGCCTCTGCTGGCCTCCTCGTGGGCCTCCTCTGGTGCTGTTGCTACTCCCACTGGCGGGCCTGGGGGGCTGGTGCCCAGGGCCTCTGCCCCAGCTGCACCATCTGTTACACGTATCCTGGCCAGGTGACTCCTGGGGGCCGCAGCCAAGTGGGCTGTGGCCTTCCAGGATCAGGGAGGACATCCCTAGAGGCTGTAGCTTTGGAAACAGGAGCCTGGGCTCTGGGGTCAGACAGACTTAGGGCTCTACCCCATCGCCAGGAGGGCCACCAGACCTTGGGCACGTCACAAAAGCCTCAGACTCAGTTTGCTCCTCTCCTGCCTTGTGGGTGTCGTGAGGGACATGGAGCTAACCAGCCCTGTCACTCGGGTGGCCGCTGGCACCCTGCTGAATCTGGGAAGGGCGGGGTCAGGGGCCTCGCTCCCCCGCAGCTGCCTTTCTTCACTCCCAGAACTCACCTGCCCGTCTTTGCCCATCCCCGGCCCCCTCTCGGGTTCCACTGAGTCAAGCCCCAGTCAGGGGCGCAGGAGGCAGCTCTGGCGGGGATAGCACCGTTTATTAAGAAAGATCAAGACAAAGACCACAGGAGGGTCCCTTCTAGGACACAGAGGCCAGGCGTCCTGACCCCACATCTGCGGGCTGCTGGTGGGGAGGTCACGTGCCCCCAGCTGGGCCCTCAGGCTCCCACAGATGGGCCAGGGCTGTCATGTCCCCTTCCTGTCCCTCCCAGTCATGAGTCCTGGCATCCCCCACCCAAGGCACTAACTCTTTTCAACCACCAATGCCCTCCTCCCCCCATGTCCCCTGGGCCTTCACTTCCAGATCAGTGGGGGGATATGGCCTGGTGTGGGCGGGGAGACCCTCTCAGTGCTGGGCTCTGCCTGGATCAGCTCCTGGGAAGAGCTGGGGTAGAGTTTCCCTTGCTGCCCCTAAGGGGCAGGGGCCCTGGGCCAGGTGTTGGGGGGCAGGGGTGGGGTGGGGGGCTGCAGGCCAGGAGGGCTCAGTGGGAGGCGGATGCTACCAGGGGCAGGTGGCCCGACTGGCTAGGCAGAAGTGAAAGGGGCTGGGACATGGGCTGGTGGGGGTGGGATTGGGGGAGGTGGCCTGCCCAGGGGTGAGCTGCCTTTTGTTCCACAGTTGGCACTAAAGAGCTTTCCCCACCCAGAGGAGGGTGGCAAAGGCAATTGCGAGGCCCCCTGCTCCCCCCTGCTCCAGGGAGCTGGTGAGGCACCAGGCTGTGGGCCGTGGTTGGCTCTTGTAGGACTGAGGGCTGCCGGAGTGCGGTGGGACGGGGACAGCCCAGCTCTGTGGGGGGAGGGGCTCTCCAGCGGCGGTGACAGTTCTGAGCCCACTGGGCTACTGCGTCTGACCCCCAGTCCTGGCAGCCGTCTGAGGCACTGGCTCTCATCCGACCTGCCCTACCTACCAGCCCGCGGCTCGGCCCAGGGGTGCTGGTGCTGGGGATGGCATGCTTGCCCTCCAGTCCAGCCCAGGGCAGTAGCAGCAAAGCGTGGCGTTGCCTCAGTTTCTTACAAAATAGTCATAATAATAATATTAATAATAATATACTCGACGTCGTGGGGCGGGGACGCTGCCCGGGAGTCCGTGTGGGCCAGTCAGCCGCCTATGAGGGGCAGGGACGGGTGCTGGCACCAGCCTGGGCACGGTGCTGCAGGTCCAGAGGCTGTGGCGGTGGTGCGCCGGGCCGGGCCGAGTGCAGCACCAGGTTCTTGATGCAGCCGGTGACGCCCGAGGAGAAGCGGCCCCCAGTCAGCGTGGTCACATCGGGGGCTCCGCCTGCAGGCACCGGGGGGGGACGGGGCATGTCAGCTCCTGCAGCCTAGCATGTCCTAGCTCCGTGGGGCCCCCATTCCTTCCCTGGTCCCGGGGAGGGCACCCGAGGCCTGTACCGGGGTCCAAGCCTGGGACTTACCGATATAGATGCTGCCCTTGGTGTTGACGGCCACGTTAGGGCCTGGCGACTGGCCGCTGACCAGCTCCTCACCATCCACCTGGATAGAGCCTCTCCGGCCTTCTCTGTTGGTGGAACGGGGGTGGGGCCCTCATCACCAGTTCCAAGGGGCCCCTCCCTTTGCCACAAAGATGCCAGACAGGAAGGCCTGCCTGTGCTTGGAGCTCTTTCCTTCCATCACTGGATGAGATCTGGCCCCACAAACACAGCTTCCTGGCACCTCTCTCAGCTGTCACCTGTCCCCTCGGGTGTCTGCCCTCCCTCCGGCCCCCCACCACTGCCATGGTATTCTGTCCCGCTCTGAAGTCTGTGTTTAGGCTGGTGGGCTCTCCGCCCGCCTAGGCTTCAAGTTCTCTCCCAGAGCTCAAAGCCTGCCTCCCTGAACACGGCAGACAGCATCCTGTCCTACCCCAGAACTCTGCGCCCTTCACCCCAGGGCCTGGGGGGCCTTTCTTACCGCAGGGCGGTCACCCGATGCCACTCGCCATCATCAATGGGGTCCTCAGAGACCAGGCGGGCCTCCCCACTGCCCAGCTGGTAGCTGCAGTCACACAGGGCCAAGACAGTGAGAGCCGGGCCAGATGGGGCTGCTTTGGGGGGCTGGGGTCCCGGGAGGGCTGCAGCTTCTCGTGGGAGGAGCCATGGCACCAAGCAGAGGGGAAGCCCCCGAAGGGGTACGGGGGTCCAGGGAGGGGAAGGAAGGGGCAGGTGCCCGGACCCACCTGAAGACAAGGTGTCCATCCTGAAGCCCAAGACTGATGAAATCCTTGCCGCGGCCGGCGTCTCCCATGTCCTGCCAGGGAAGCACAGGGTCGCTGGGGTTCCCTGTCTAGAGAGCCGGGGCCCCTGCTGCCGTGGCCTCCACCCTCCTCTCTCTCACCAGGGGGCTGGCGACCCTGAGACCAGGCTGGACGCCCACACTCACCACGCCCTGCCAGAGCAGGAGGCCATTGGCTGTGCTGGTCCGAACTTCCAGCTCGATGGTCTCCGGGACCTCAGGCAGGCTGGGAGTGGAGGAGGCGGGTGAGGGGGAAGAAGCTGCAGATTCCTGCTCCCCTCCCTGAACCCACTGGTTCCCCCGGCACCTGTCTCACCTCCTGGAGAAGATGCGGCCAGGGAAGGCGAGGAAGCCATCATCGTGGAAATAGGCTCCATACTGTCCAGGGGCATCTGCAGGAGGATGTGGGGACGGTGAGGCCCCTGCTCGCCTGTATGGGGCAGCCACCGTGCTGGATTCTGGACCCCCACCTTCACTCCAACGTGTCCTACTATGGGGGCCCTGAGCCTGCAGTCTCCAGAGACCCCAGGGGGCTCTGGACACAGGTCAGGGGCCTGTGAACTTGGACAGAGAGATACTGGGGCTTGACGTTCACTCCTCACTGAAATGGAGTTGTTCCTTCTGTTATGCATGTGGGCAGCAAACCCAAGGGGCCGTAGCAGGACTTATGATTTGTCACTAATACATTATCGGAAAATTTTAAATATTTTGAGAACTTTATCTCAGTACAGTGGGTTTCCTCTGAAATCCTATGTATTTTATTTTATGTAGTCAGTAGGGTCCAGATAGGGTGACCAACCACTGTCCCTATTTGCTGAGTCCTGTCCTGGTTTTAGTTCCTGAAGTTCACATCCCGAGAGATCCCTCAGCCCTGAGCAAACCAGGAGAGCTGGTCACCTAGGTCCCTGGCACATAGAAGTTTCAGAACCCTTGTGTTCCCTCTCTCTTACGGAGGGGAAGACAGGCTGGGGGTGGGTGTGAGCAACCTGCCCAGAAAGTGGGAAGCCAGCATGGCCACCCAGACCTTTAGGCCCCAGTGTACATACTGGGTGTGGTTCCAGCATCCCCAGCCCTACCTGCTCAGACCCATCTTCAGGCCAGTGCTGGTCCCTGTGGGCCTACAAGGGTAGGGGGCACTTGGCCACCATCCACCCAAAGATGTGAACAGTGAACATTTCCTAAGCACCTACTGTGTGCCAGCTGCAAACACACTTTCATTTAAAAGGATCCTTACAACAGTCCTGCGGCGTAGACATAACGTTAATAAAAGCTAACACTCTGTACCCACTGTCGACCAGACGGTGTTCTAGGCATTTTGAGCACATTAAATAATTGTATCCTGACATAAACTTTTATCCAACCCTTGTGGAAGGATGTCACTCCTCTTTATTTTACACATAAGGAAACTGAGGCACAGAAGGGTAAGTGACTCACCCACGGGAACGCAGCTAGTAGTTGGCAGGGCTAGGATTTCAATCCAGAGCCCATGTTCTTAGCCGCTCTACCACTACTGTCTCCTATCACATTAGTGAGAAGGAAGAAGATGGCTATATACAAAGCAGTGAGCCCAGCATCCCTGAAAGTTTAATAAACACTGATTTTTTGATCACTGCTTTTAAATAGCCTGTGGAATTCTTGAGAAGGCAGGTCTTGCCTTGTTCATCGTGTATTTCCTGCCACAAGGGCAAGGATGGGCACAAAAGAGTTTGACAGGATGTGTGAATGTAGAGGAGGAAACTGAGGTCAGAGTGGCTCAAGGACCCACCCTGGGCGGCCTCGCCAGCTCAACTAGCCCGAAGTACAGGGCGTGCTCCAGCTCTGTGTTGCTGGACTCTTCTTTGTTCCCTCACTCTGAGCCCAATGAGCCTCTCGCGTGGCCTTGTCCTGCTCACAGGCCAGAAGCAAGAGTGTGGGCTCCTTGGGAGAGGGGCTGACACGGGAAGCCAGGGAGGAGACAAGCCTCTCTGGCCTCAGGTAGTACGTACCGTTGCCCCCGCTGCCTTCCAGATGCCACTCGGACTCTGCCGTGCCTTGTCCAGGGCCTATGAAGAGAGGCAGGTGCGGTCAGCAGGCACAGACACCATGGGGCCTGTGTGTTGCCCCCAGGGCCCCAAGTGGGAGGTAGGGAGAAGCCGGGACAGTTACCTTGTTGGCAGTGGGGCCCAGAGAAGCCGGGGGGACAGAGGCAGCGGGTGCCCTGGCAGGTGCCCCCGTGTAGACAGGGCTCACGGAGCCGGCAGGGGTTCTCCTCGTGCTCACACAGGTCTCCTGCGGGCCAGGGCGCCATGAGCGGGTGTGGGCCAAGGCAGCTGCCCCTCCTCTCTGCACCTTCCCCCCATCCCCCCACCAGCCGGGGCCAGGGTCAGGGGTGGGCTCGCACACCTTTGAAGCCGTCTGCACACAGGCACTGGAACTCGTACTCTCCAGCTGGCATGCACGTGCCGCCGTTCCGGCAAGGCTGGCGCTCACACGGGGAGCTGCTGTAGCACTGCCCGACGCCCCGACTGCCCAGGAAGCTGTAGGTGAGGTCCAGCCGCTTCCCATTCACGGACACCTGTGGCACAGGGACGCTGAGGGGCTCTGGGCATGCCAGGGGCAGAGGCCAGGCTGCCCAGCGTAGGGTAGCTGGGAACCCAAGTGGGAATATGGTGTTAATGGGGGGTTGTAGCACAGGCAACGGAGGAACCTAAGCTGAAGGCCTCTTGTGCGCCAGGGACATCCAGCAGGGTGGTCACTCCTCAAAGGAATGACCCGCTGCACAGAGAAAGGAACTGAGGCTGGCAGGGAAGTGCCCAGGCTTGCTGTGGGGTCGGGGGTTGGGGGGAGCTCGCCTGCACCCTTTCCTCCCCTCCCCTCTCCTCCCCTGCGGGCCCCTGGAGGCTGCTGCTCACCTCGCCCACGCAACCACGGAAGTGAGTGCTAACGTTGGTGGCTGGGGGCAGCCGCACGGAGGGCTCCACGCCCCCGAGGTAGAGGAGTGTGTGCAGGTTGAGGCCCTGGCTCTTGCCCGGTGAGGAGCGCAGCACGGGGGGTCTGCTGTTCACGCGCAAGCTGCCGTCCTTGTTCAGACGCTCGGCGGACACTCGGTGCCAGTGGCCCAGGGCCAGTGGCTCGGGGCTCCGCAGCACGGCCAGCCCTGGTGGGGGGATGCCAGATGGGGAT